CATTACTCCAAACTGTTCCTCTTTGCTCAGCCATTATTCTAGTCATTTAACTTAAAAAAATTGAAGACTTGGAATTACATGACAACAATGACAAACTCTCCCATCTGTCTTTCTGAGACAGGAGGCTCCATCATCTCCTGAAGCAGAACACAACCGTGATTAGCCAAAGACTAAGAAATGGCTTCAAATCTGATGAGAGGTACTTTGATAATATACCTCCTGCTCCCAGGGAAATAAATCTCAGAATTCTAGAAGAGAAAGCAGATTGAATATTTCATTTCTAAAAAGTGATCTGTGTTCAAGCAAAATAAAAAGAAGTAAATGGTGCTTATACTCCCTCTGGACAGAGAGAGTAAATACGGTAAACAAATGACTATATGATGGCATGATCAAGAAAGATTCCCACAGCCTTCCAAAGGAAAGGGCAGAATCTATGTAAATAGTGAAAGGGGCAAAAGTACTTAAGGAGGTGGGATGAAGGATGTGGCAGGTAAGAATCACTTGGTATGTTGAGAGAACAATGATCCTTAAGAATTTAGGATCCTTAGGAGTTGATTTGGTGCCACTCCTCCTACAACCAAATTTTTCTTGAAGAGCATATTACCAAGATAGTATATATCTTAACCATAATTATTTTATTGTAAATGAGCTGAAATAAACTCTATTGCAAATGGGATTTGAATAGCTTGAAGATAAGAGCAGGTTTTGGTCCCTCACCTTTTGTGTCTGGGTGTACCATTAACTTATAAAATTTGAAATATTAGCCTGATTTAAAAAAATTAAAAATGTATCTATGGAATAAATTCATGTGACAGTTCTGTTTATGGGCCTTCATTTACAAGAAATAAACAAGTGTCTATGGATCATTAATTAAAACTAAGCAATTAAACAAAAACATTTGCCTGAGCTAAACAGGTTTAGAACATTATATTTTTGGTATGATTCCATAAAATTGTATCATTTTATATAGGTGGATAATGATTACATGTTACTCTTTTGTATAGCTGAGAGAGTACTTACATTAAACTGTACCTTCTTTTCCAAAAGGCCACTAATAGGCATCATATATAGGCCAGGCATGGTTCCTCATGCCTGTAATCCTAGCACTTTGGGAGGCCAAGGTTGGCAGATTACTTGAGGTCAGGAGTTCTAGACCAGCCTGGCCAACATGGTGAAACCCCACCTCTACTAAAAATACAAAAATTACCCAGAAATTGCTGGAACTCGGAAGGCGCAGGTTGCAGTGAGCCAAGACTGTGCCACTGCACTCCAGCCTGGGCAACAGAGCGAGACTCTGTCTCAAAACAAAACAAAACAAAACAAAAAGGCATCATATAAACTCTTACCAAGATTAACAAAACTTGATAAATTTGTCATTTTGGAGAAGTTTAGCGTTTTTATTTCATATACTTGATAAACTGAGACTCAGCACATTCTTTGGACATTATATAACATCATCAATATTTGAATCTAGGTATAGAACTGTCTTGGTGGCTTGGTATCTTGTGCCCTGCCATTAGAAAGCACAGTCCATTTAACAGCTCATTTTGCACCTGCCCTGGATTTATGCAGTCTGATTCATAGTTTCAGGAAGCTATCCAGTACATAAAGGGATTTGGAATTGATAATCTCCTCACGTATTTAAAGTTATTCTTTGGTAATATTCAAGTTGGTCATATTCATGTTTTAATTTACACAATGAAAGTCTTTCATATATATCAAGTATACCAAGGTGAGTTGCAAATCCCTGAATCTTAAGTCATGATTTTTATTGTGCCAAAATTCTTGCTCATTGTAAAGGAAGAAGTGAACACATAGAGCTGCTATTACTACAGTTATTTGAATGGAGAGAGTGACATAACTAGAAGTAATAGCTTCTCAGGAGTGCCCAAATGTATGAACTAAGATGTAGTAATATAAAAAAACAAGGTGATCAAAAGGAGTTTCATTTCATGAAGGCTAGATGAACTGCAAGTATATCTAGAAAAGAAAGTGATCACTCAAATCAGTTTAAAAAGAAAGGAATGGTCATCATGGAGAATTTGTCTTTATAGGTTAATTCCTTTGGACATTAGTAATTTAAAATATATGGAGGCTTGGCATGAAGGTCAAAGATGGCATGTTAAATCTTCAGGGAACACACATTTACACTAAAAAACACTTCTGTAACATTGTTTCAATCAACATTTCTGAACTTATTTGACCAGGGCATAGTTTTTATATATGCATAATACTGACATGTCTGTGGACGAGGCTTTTGGACTAGATGAGATGCAGAAGTGTCTAAAAAGATGCTAAGTAAGGACTGACTCTGTCCTGTGCTTATTGAGCTGCTAATCTGAGAGCTATCAGAATATTACTTATGTAAGAGGGTGTCTTCTATGCAGGTAAACAATTGTAAATGGTGATCTGAGGATCATAATTCCTGGAGGCTTCAGTCTTATCAATTCTAAATAGAGATCAGGGGATAAGGTGAGATTTTTCCTGATGGAACTAGTTAACACATTCCTTTTGAGAGAGAAGTTCCTCTGCTGTGAGTCCCGTTACAACCCCTTTTGGGATAGGGGTGTGAAAAGGCTACTTTTTGACACCTGACATATGGGAAACACTTGAAACAAATTCATTTAAGGATCTTTGAAATAAGCTCACGTGGTTGGAAGACATGGATCTGGACTCTGAATAATATCTGAAAACATGTAAATAGTCTGCGAACGCCGGAGTCTGACTATCGTCAAGGAAGGCTAGATACGCTCTCCTCATTGGTTTGGACGAGAAGGAAGAGGAGTGCTAACAGATTGTCTAGGAGAAGGATGCATGAGTACTTCTCTGTGGACTACATCTGAACAATATAGGAGGGCCAGCATTGCATCTTGGGTCCTGCCCAAGAGTGACTCCTACCAGAATTTTACCTAAATAAAAAGATAATAATTTAGCCAAAACTCAAAGAGGATAAATCATCAAAGAAGATGCATATCACTCATCCACTATGTAAAGCCATGCTATAAGACTAAATTGAAATTTAAACATATACTTTTCACAAAAAGTACAATTTTTAAAAGTAACATAATGTCCTTAAGACCTATCCTGGATTATACTGACTAAAAAATGAGTACAGAACTTTATAACTAAACTTCTTGATGGAACTTGGTATCTAGACCTAAAAATTTATTCTTTTAAATAAAAAAATTAGGGGTGGTGGTGGGTGCCTGTAATACCAACTACTTGGGAAATTGAGGCAGGAGAATCATTTGAACCCCACAGGCAGAAGTTGTAGTAAGCTGAGATCACACCACTGCACTCCAGCCTGGGTGATAGAGACTCCATTTCAAAACAAAAATTATATTCTTTTAATCAGCTGTTCCCAATTACATTGCTCCAAGTGTCAGTAAATACCAAAGGGTTATACTAGTTTTCTTGTCCTCTATCAAGCACTTATAAGATCAAGAACTTCATGACTTGAATTATTACAAACATCACAACATCTTTGCATATAAATATCTATGGTTCCATAAGTGAATACATTGAGTTTCCAAGTTAAAGTTGGCTAATATAGGAAATTTAAAAACATAAACTTTGTGAACTTATTTAATATGCAATAAAATGCTAATCACTGCAATCCTGGAAGTTGAAGATTTGTTTTCTTATTGAGAAAATGTATAGCAATGATGCAGACCAAAAAAAAAAAAAAAAGGTGTGAAAGGGACATTTTTATTAAAAGCAACATAAAATGAAAGAAAAACAACAGTGTAAGAGAAACATCAGATATAACATGATATAGTCTTATCTTAAATCTCCATAAAATTAGCCCAAATTCCTTTAAGTATATAATTCTTAAATTCACCATTGTATACAGTCTCTTGTTCCTTACTATGTTGTTATTTCTAATTCATTGGGAGACTATTTAAAAATGAACCTCAAAGCAATTTTTGTGGTTTATCTTTTCATTACTTCAGTAATAAAATGCCAGCTTGCTCACTGTAATAGCTGGTGGCAGTGTAATTATATTCAAGGGAAATATCTAGGTTTCCATTCTCCTATTGGGTGATTATAGTGTTGAAAACTTCTAAATAAAGCAGTAACTAAAAACTTCTTTGGCATATTGAAAATAATTCTGAGACTAAGTTGTTGTCACTCACCAAGAGAAATATTCTAGAACCATTTTAATCATTACTTTCAGAAATGCTCTTTGGCAAGGTGCATGACTCCGTCAGGATCAATAAAGCCCCTACATTACACATTGTTCCATTAATTTAAAATATTCTTATTTATCGCTCAGAAAGCTACTGATGTTTGGTCAAGAATATTAGTACGGTCCAAATACCCTATATTTAGCCCTAGCCAAAGAAATTCTTCATGTGAAAAAAAAAAAAAATCCAATGAACAAATCATTGCCTATATTTACTTTTTCTCTCTCTTTTGATAAAAGTTTAGAGCAGCAATCATTTTAATTAGCACACTGAGCATAAGAATGCATCATAGCAGTTGTTATATCCAGTTTTAAGACTGGAGAGTGTGGCGACTTATCTAGATATATGGATAATATATGCTCAGCTAAGCATATGGAGTAATATAAATTATGATTATAGATGAGGGGGGTACAGAGGGACATGTACAATAGCTGCCTGTCTCCACTTAATCAACTAACATTTTTCTAACACATACGAGAGAAGGTTTATTTTAACTATTGAAATATGATAAGAAAATGAGCCATGATAACATATTCTATCAGCTTTTTACATTTTGAAATACGTAACTATTTTTTTCTGTAGATGCAAAGTCACATTTTAAAAAATATTATTCAAAAGACAAATGAGAAACAAAAGATATGATAATTAGCTTAAAGCAACCTCAAAATATCAAAGATTGTGTGTTTTTACTTTAAATATTTTATCTCTTTTTTTTTTTTAATAGAGGAGATAGTGTAGTTATCTTGAACACAATTCAATCTACTGGTTCAGGTTAGCTGGTTAAAGACATTGGAGATAAATAAAACAAATCACCTTCTCTTGATACTGCCGCCTCGAAGAATCCAGAGACTGGATTAAAGCAGTGGCATGGCCGACAAACATGGCATAGCAGGTGGCCCCGACGATCATGCTCAGCATGGTAATCCAGAGGTCAGACATGCTGACTGGGGCTTGGGCTCCATATCCAATGCACAGCATGTGACTCATAGCTTTGAAGAGTGCGTATGAATACTGCTTTCCCCAAGAATCATTCTGGAACATAACAGAAAAAGAAAATTGACTGAGCCATTAGGATGGCAGAATGAAAAGTGAGAATGATCTGTAGACAGAAGCATGATAAAATACTGAATACTGGAATAATCCTTACAATGGAGCATTTACAAATGTACTTCTCATTAATTGTGAATTAAATGATGATGTTTTTCAAATATTTCCTACTATGATGAAGTAGAAACAGTCTGCTGTTACTTACATGCACTCTTTGTCAGTTTTAAGTTTGCTGTTTTTAAAACTAAAATTCCTTTTGGGACAATGGTATGCCATGTAATAATGCCAAGAATGAATGCTTTAAGGTTTCCAGGAAATGTGGTCAAATAGTATTAATAATATATTTGTAAGCTATGAAATGCAGCAGACAGTATGACACATATAGGCCAAAGTATAGACATTTTTATCAAAACCATGAAGTTCAGATTTTAAAAATCCATACTGATATAGCTGTATAATCCTTAATACTATAGTTTTTCTAAATAAAAATTTAAACAAATATATATTGGAAATACAGATCTGATAGGTAAATGGAAAGACTTCCTTGAAGCCCTCACTCAAAGTGACATACATTGTAATTTGTGTCAGGATTGAAGACGGCTGAATCTGGTTGGTTTTTTATAAAATAATAAAATGAAATAGGCAAAAGAACATCTTGGCTTATGTCCTGGGGAAAAAAAAATAGGAAATGCTGACTTCTGAGATTACTTATTAGTTGTAACTTCTGACGTCATTTCAAAACAATTGCAAGCTCAATTTTTTAAAAATGCTGTTCAATGTATCTTATCTAACTTTTGTTAAAATTTAAATTATTTTTTGGATAAATTTTATTGAACTCCCTAATTCAAGTATTACACAATTTGTAAGAGCCAGAGCAAAATGAAAATGAGGGGGGTCTATTTCAAAGTGCAGGAAAAAAAATGTCGTTAAATATAATAAAACATAAAGATTTTTCCTTTAAAACTATTTTATTATTTATAAAACCTAATGTGATAACAGTGATAAATGAGTAACAATATAAACTTACAAATTTTAAAAATTAATATTTTAATGTCATAATTACATGTAATATAATAAATAATACTGTATTAATGTGATATTTTGATCATAAAATTTTTCTGGCTTTTCTGAAATTCATTTCTTAGATTATCAAAATTTATATAATTATCTTCATTTTCAGTGATTTCATTGACAATTACATCAGTTGCTCTTGGCTATTGCAAGATTACAAATAATTTTAAGTATTTTTAAATTTAAAAATGATCTTTCTATTAATTCAAATGTTATTAAACCTATTAGGGGTATTTTATAGGCTGTGAGATTAGGGTCAACTTCTGATAATTTATTTAAAAATATATATTTGAGTACATTTGGAGCTGATGATTTTCATAGAACAACTTTTCAATAAATATTTAACTCATCATGCCAATCAGTTTCATACCAATTTCACATAGAATTCAGTTTTTACATCTGAATTTATTTTTTTAATTAAATTTTTTACTTTTAGGTAATTATAGATTTACATGTAAGTTATAAGAAATAATATAGAGAGATTCTATGTACTCTTCTCTCAGTTTCCCCAGAGGTAACATGCTGCAAACTATAGTATAGTTTCATAGCCAGGAAATTGACATTGGTATAATGTACTCATCTCATTTATAGCTCACTAATTTAAGTGTACTAATTTGTGTGCCTATATGTGTGTGTATATTTATTTCTATGCAATTTTGTCACATGTGTAGGTTCATGTATTTATTACAACAGTAAAGACATAGAACAATTCCATCACAAGGGTCACATATACTGCCTTTTATTGAATTGAGTGTTAAATTTAAATGTATGCAACGATGTTTTAGTGTTTCTTCTGATATTTCCTGTAACTTGTCAAGGCTGTGCAAAAAACTGAAAGTAGTTTCAAGATTTGCATATAATTCAAAATGCCTGTTTATATATTGTATTGCTATATTTTTAGTTACAAAGAAAGTTTAATTTAAAAAATTATCTTCCTTGTTAATAATTGGTTTAATTTAAAACTTCATAGAAAAATAGTGTTATTTTCCATCAAATGCGAGCCTTCAATTTAATTTGTATTTCTAAGTTTACGGACATCTGCTGTGCAATTTTGCAGCAGCTTTCAAAACTGGATACTGTAAACGCTGAAGAATTGTAATGACTTTCTAAAGTGCTTACTGCTGTGCCCATGTGTAACATTTATTTTGTAATAATTTATTTACAAGGTTTACTGCCTGAGTGCCATGGGTATTGTCTTGGAATTTAGGTGGGAGATTGAAAATTAAAATAGATACTACAGGGATAGTCCCTTGGGACTGATGAGCGAGCTGTCTACTTACCATGGGTGTTCTCCCTGCCTGCATGGGTAGCCACTTTCATCTCCCACGACTGCCTTTGTTGCTGCTGCTTCTCCTGCTGCTACAGATAGTCACTCCTAATCTGGGCCTAGTCCTGGTTCGGCCACATCAGCGACACATAGCATCCAGACTGCTGAGTCATGCATATGCTGCCTTGCTGCTAGGCCAATTGCATGTCTCCTGTGCCTACAGGCTTGAATCTGTGTGTGTGCTGCTGCCATCCTGCAGTTCTGCTGCTCATGTTCACACCCTATTGTCCCAGTGGACTTCACTTACAAAACATCAGTTCAAAGATAAAATTATTAAGAGTTTCAAGACGGCAGGAGCAGAACATTAAACCAAGCACAGGGTTCTTTTGACAGTGAGGGACCCTGTGCAACTTCAAGGTCACATATCAATAAAGCCAAACCTTCATTTGTCAAATTAACTCTTAACTTATCATAAACTTTTCAAACTATTTTGTTTTGAATACATATGGATAGTTTTGTTTGTTGTTAATGGGACTTTCCAACATCAAACTTGTAGATTTAAAAAATAGAACAGAAGATTTAAAAGCCTAGTCTTATAAACCTTGGAACTGCACATAGCTGCTAAAAAATAAATAAAATAACTAACCCCATTTAGCTGAAAGGATTAAGGTTCTTAAAGTGAAATTCGCTGTTAATTAATTATAATAAAAGTCCTGCTCATATTAAACTATAGTCTCTATAAATGTATTTGCATGCAAATAAAAAATAAAATTTAATTTTAACACAAGAAAATTACTCATATGTCATAATATTTTAATATGTACAAAGTATAATAAACTCATGCAAAAACTCTTATTTTGGAGATTAAGCAAACTTATACTTTTTTATAAGTGAAAATGTATAATACTCAGAAATACATCTAAGATTTCCAAAATTCTAGATGGTCCATGAATAAGAAATCGTATATTTACATTTACTAAAATGTAAAATCTAATTTAAGATTTCCTTTCTCCACTTAAGGGCACAGAAGAGGTATATTGTTAAAGCATCTTGATGTATTTAGATAAAATGGAAATAATAAAAAGTTCAATGGGGTGTCAAGTGGAGACTACACTTTAATTATATTGGTATTGTTTATTTCTCTGTGTATGAATGGAAGCAGGGTATGGAGCTGGAAAAGAAAGTTTAATTCAGTTTTTCAAAATAATGCAGGTATGTCTATTTTCATTTATCTCACTAGAGACACAAAACACACACCTGCATATACATGCTCTTAAGTGACTTGAAATATATATTAAAAATGCTTTCTTTTTTTTTTTTTTTTTTTGAGATGGAGTTTCGCTCTTGCTGCCCAGGCTGGAGTGCAATGACGCGACCTCAGCTCACTGCAACCTCCGCCTCCCGGGTTCAAGTGATTCTTTTGCCTCAGCCTCCCGAGTAGCTGAGATTAGTGCCACCATGCCCAGGTAATTTTTGTATTTCTAGTAGAGACGGCATTTCACCATGTTGTTCATACTGGTCTTGAACTCCTCGAACTCAAATTCCATCACCTCAGACGATCCACCTGCCTTGGTCTCCTAAAGTGCTGGGATTACAGGCATGAGCCACTGTGCCCAGCCTAAAAATGCTTTCTTATTTTTCAAAATCATGAGCAACTTTTCTACTTCCCATTTTTCCCATGTTTCCATTCCTCTCTCTCCACCTATATTTCCCAAAAATCAGGTATGGATTCTGTACCTTTCTCCATGCTCATATGATCACACACACACATGCACATACACACATCCACGATTCTGGCTTTTTTTCCCACAAAAATGAATCTTATTATATATGCTCTTATTGTTGTTATCACATATAAAATGCCTCCAAATAATCTGTTGTTCATATAACTATGCAATAGTTTGTTGATCATACCATAGTTAATTCAATTTACCCATTGTTCTCCAGCTTTTGCCACTACAAACTATTCTTTAATAAAAAAACTTCATCCATGTATCTTTTCTTTCTATCAATAAGACTCCCAAGAGTGTGATTATTGGTTCAAAGAGTAAGATCTTCAGTTTGATTTTAAAATATATTGCCAGGTTGATTCAAAAGACAGTACCTTTTCCAAAACAATGTGTAAAAATATACTGTATCACCTTATACAGCGAGAAATAATAACCCATTGTTACTTTTATTAGCATTTCCCTAGCAAAGGAATTTGAGAAGGCATTCATGTATTTATTTACCAAATGGACTTGCTCATCTCTAATGAATTTTTTTCCTTATTAATTTGCAATGCCTCCTTGAAGACTGGATATCACCCTTTTAACTGATATGTGCTATAAATATTTATTCCTAATTTATCATTTGCCCATTGACCTTCCAATCATATAATTTTTCATATAAATATTTCAATTAGTTTATGTAGGAAAATTAAATCTGTAATTTCCTTGGCAGCTGCTGGATTTCTCATGATGATTCAAGAGGTATCTCTAAATAAGATTATTCCTATGTCCTGAATGCTTTTTCAGATTATTTTATTTTTTATATTTACTTATACTTACATGTGTTTCCTAGAGAAAGGTTTCTTTTTGTATATAGAAAAGTTCACATTTCCTTTATTCTAAATAAATGGATTGTCTTTTTTGCCAGTATATAACTT